GGCGGTGCGTTTGGTCGCGGCTCCCCACGTGGCCACGGAACGTGGGCAGGGGAGGCTTTTTGAGGCCGGCCCCGAGCGCCCGTCCCGTGCCCCACCTGAGCGACCTCGACCGCGAGGGAACGGCGGCACGGGCGGTGGCGCGGCGGTCTCGTCGCTTGTGCCTCGCAGCACGGGGCGACCCCCTGCTGGGATGCACTGCTGGTTCGGCCACCGAGCCATGCAGAGGTGTTTGCACGTTCTCTCTCTCTCTCTCTGTCTCCACCCCTCTGTTCCCGCACGAGTTTTCCCCCTGGGTCCGCTGGTTTCCTCGGGACAGTAAAAGAAACGAGAGAAAAAAAACCCTCCACGTACTGCGCAACACCTCTCGCGAGTCGTGCGCCTGCACGGGGCCGGCCGGGCGGGCGGAGGGCGGCCCCCCGAGGCTTTGCCGCTTGTTGCGGAGGTTTGCGGTTCGAGCCCCAAGGCCCCACCCCTGGTTAATACCGCGGGGGTGGGGGGGGGGGGCACTAAACCCCCTGGTTAATACTGCGGCGTCTACTCCGTGGCGGACGTTGAAGATCCCGTGTGACGTTGTTTGACGAGCGAGTTAGGCGGACATTGCGTGCCAGCTTCTTTGGTCCGAGTTTTACAAAATTATTAATTTTACACATCGGCTATTGGGGGGGCGGGGGGGGGGGGCGCGGAGGGGGGACCACAAAGCTGCATCGGCTCCAATGCCACTACGGCGACAGCACTGCAAGACTGCGTCCGTGAAACGTCGCGAAACTTCTGTGTGTGCGCCAGCCTTGGGGGTGGCACCAACACCTGTCCAGGCCCCCCCCCCACCGCGCGCCCCCATTCCTCCGGCTTCCTCCCACAGCCAAAAACATCCCAATGCGCGGATAGATAATTACCGGTTAAAATGTACTCGTTGGGATTGTGCACGGCAACAACAGCAGCATCACAACAGCGCCCTCCCACTAGTCCCACTCGACTACCAAGAACTGCTGGTGGGAGAGCCTTCCCGGCGAGAGAGACGAGGGAGTCTTCAGACTCGACGACGAGGCGGCGATATTGCCGGGGCGAGCACCGCGGAGTGACAACGAAAGACCGAGAGCCGCGAAGGGGCGGGGGGGGGGGTTGCAAGGTCACGTCGCTGTCAAGCCGTATGCCGGTGCGGTCTGTCCGCGGTGGCGCGCCGGTGGGGGGTGGGGGGTGGGGGGTGGGAACGGCGACGTGCCGGAGTGGCCCGAGCCCTCGACCACAACTCACGCTCGCGTCACGCTTTTGGCGCGATCTAGCGGTTGGGAGGGTGGCGGCGGTGGTAGCCGTGGTGGGGGGGGGCGGCTGTGGTGGGGGCGGCTGTGGTGGTGGTGGCCGTGGTGGCCGTGGCGGCGGTGGTAGCCGAGGTGGAGGTGGTGGCCGTGGTGGCGGTGGTGGTGGTGGTGGTGGCCGTGGTGGCCGTGGTAGCCGTGGGGGCGGCGGTGGTGGTGGTGGCCGTGGTGGCCGTGGTGGCCGTGGTAGCCGTGGGGGCGGCGGTGGCGGCGGTGGTGGCGGTGGTGGCAGTGGCCGTAGTGGAGGCGGCGGTGGTGCTCATGGTGGCAGCGAGTGTGGTGGTGGTGTGGTGGCGACGGCGGCGGTGACAGGGCGAGCGAGTTTGAGACAAGTGTGTGCGAGTGTCCCGTAAATTTTATTTTTAAATAAATAAATTCCTGACTTGACAGAAACTTTAGTAGCGGAGTCAGAGACTGGCACAACACTGCCATTGTTATTGCGGACAGGGCCTATCCCCACCCCTCTGTAGTAGCTTCTGCCAAAGCAGTCCTAATTAACAGCTGCCCTGGGTGAAACTGCACACAAGACGCTCTTTATGGTCGGGATTATTCACTCTGCGTGAGTGTGAGTGTGTGAGGGATTGCGTCGGTGGCTGTGGGAAGGCGTGGGCTGGAGAATGGTGGTGTTGAATCGGGGATAGGGGGGAGATGGCGGGCGGGCGGACGGACGGACGGGGAGACTGGACGGAGAAGGAGGCCGTGGGCTGGGGGGCGGCGGCACGGTGATGACAGCGAGGAGTCTTGAGTGTCGCGTTTCATTCCCAGCTGTTGTTGACCGAGTCGAATCGTGCGGCTCCTGCCGAAGCAGCGGCAGCCGTCCAACCCCCCCCCCTCTCCTCTTCCACCGCTGATGGGAGACGGCCAGATGCAGTCGGGGTGTGTGTGACGGATGGTGTGCGTTTTGTGTGTGCGCGTGCGCACGGCAGTTCTGAGCAGATGTATGCGTGTGGGTGTGTGTCTTTGTGCGGGAGTTGTAGTGTAGCGGTTAGCGCGATGCGCTACAAACCCGGCGACCCGAGTTTTATTCCCGCTCACGGCCACCAACACCGGTGACGATTATCTGAACTGGTCCTGGGCCTCCCCTAGGTAGACTCGGCCTCAAATGAGTACCTGGTGCGGTGTGTAAACATCGCCACTGGGGAGACAAAGGCGGCCGGGCATGGTGCTTGCCACCCATCCCCTCGTTTGCCGTGCCGGCCTTCATATAGTGCTACTCGCTAACAGCACTTGCCCCAAAAGTCTGTTGAGGCTATAGGGGGGATCTTCGTCTTTGTGTGTGCGTGTTTGTGGAGACACGTGCACACGTGCACACGGCACCACACCACCACGCTGGCCATCCAATTACGCAAGTTGCCAACCCACTGATTGAATCAGTGTTGATTTACTCCGGCTGGTTTCATCTCCACCCTCTCCCCCTTCCCTCGCCTCCCTCCAACCTCCCCCATCCTCCACCCCATTCCTTCAGCCGCCCTCTCTGGACGCTCGGTGCCAGTCCGTAAAAAAAAAATCTGTGGCAGTAATCAATCGGCCAACCCCCGCCCCAGAGGGTTGGTCACCGTGAAAGGCCGCGCGCACTTAACCAGAGTTCAGCGCTGCGCCCTTCCCAGCGCCGTGGCTACCTTTGGCAGACGTTGAATGATAACCCCGTGCCCCAGCCTCGTCAACGAGGCCAGACTCATCTGCAGTCTGCGCCAGCCAAACTTTGCGCGGCGGAATCCGGGCCAGCCGAAGGTCACCCCTCTGAGAGAATTTGAATTTATGTGCTCGCGTAATGGGACGACGGCGAGGAGCATTAATTCACGCTTTTATAAATCATTGTTTCCCCTTCGAGTGGCCGCTTCTCCGTCGGTGCACGCGTGCTCCTTACACGGCTGTTCACGCGCGCGCTCCCCGCGCGGTTGCTCGCTCGCGCGGTTGTTCACGCGTGCGCGAGACGTGGAGGGTCGCGAAACGACGTGCGGTACGTACCGAAAAACGCCCCGCCAGATAAGCGAGATGCAACAAAGAGGAAATGCCGAGCTGTCTCCCGCACTGGGTGGAGGGTGGGGGGGCGCACCCGTGATATAATCTCTCTCTCTTGTGGTGGAGCTGGGGTGCAAGCACGACCACCCATCACACACCAGCGCCACCCACCGCCGCCTCTGACTGCGCCGTGATTTACGACATCGCCGCCAACAGCGGCCGCGTGCGTCGCCCGCCGCTGGCCCCCCCCGTCGTAGGCCGTCGTGTTGATGCGTGACAGATGACGGCGTTTACGGCCGAGCTGCCGCGATCGATGCCGGAGTGGAGCCGCAAATTTAATTCGCGAGAGAGACACCGTCTCCCCCCCCCCCGTCCTCACCGTCGCCCTTCCGCATTCTTTTTTTGTTTGCTGGCGCACGGCGCCGTAACTTCACGCACCGGGTTTCCTTGTGCTCTTCCACGCGTGGGGTTCCTGTTGGCGAATGCAGCGTTAAGGTGTGGGATTTGTCGTGAATCGAACCCAGTTCCCGTCTTGCCGGTGGGTTCGCGAGCGTTGGCACGTCTCCCCTTGACCTTTAACCCGGTGATCCCCAACCGTAGTTCCGCCAACCGTGTGTGCGTGGGCCTCGGCGCAGTTGAGCCACCTGCACCCACCACCACCTTGGTTAAGCCGCGCCGCCTGTACGACTTACCCCCGCCGCAAGTCGTGCGGGTCCCGGCCCACGCGGAGCCACCGTGGTTATCCTGAGACCGTGCCGGTGACTCCCGTGTGCATAACGACTTCCAGCCGTGCCGGTGCCGGCGGCGGCGTTGGTGTTGACGGGGATTCCGCTGGTATTGCGTGCGTGCTTGGGGTTCGGGCTGAATGCCAGGATGAGAGTGAGGGAGACCGAACAGAGACACTGTACAAGATGCACGCGGCGCATGGGAGGGCATCGGCGGGGTGCCGTCGCTTCCACTGCTACCGCTGCTGTTGAGCTGACAGAGAGATTAGCTTCTGCAGTAATAATAATATAGTACATTTGGTGAAATCTGAACTCGAGCTACCGTCGGAGACGTTTGCTATTTTAATTCGACCGAAGAAGACGCACATTTGGCGCGAGGTGTGGAGCGAGCGGTAGCTATGAACCCAGCGAGCCCCAAGTTCGATACCCGGTACCACGGTTCATAGCGTTAGCGACGACCGATATCCGAACCGGTCCTGCCGCCCGGCTTCGCCCAAACCGCACTGGCCAGCGTGTGCGGTGAAGTATGGTCAAGCAAGCTCCCGGTGACCCAATACGGTTATGGTGGAGGCCCCCATCCAGCAGTGGATTGGCAGAGGGCTGTAAGTTGAATTTATAAACGTTGCGTTTTTGGCGCGTTCGCAAAAACTGTGAGCGAGAGCGACGCTCGGGGTGTTGGTTCTAATAATAATTCGAATGTAACGGTATGCGGCGTCATTCATGCTAATTACGTCTCACAACGCTGTTCATTAATTACATCCACAATCACATTCAGGGCAAAATCATATTTGTAGCAAATTATGAAGTGGGTGAAAACCCCGCAGAAAATGAGAATGGAATAAACAAATGAAGAGACGGTGTAAAAGCCATGCGCTATAAACAACAACAAAACGGGGTTATCGCGACATTTGTTAACCTGATTTTCTCGTGTCTCTCTGTGGCTCTGTGGCTATCCCCTCTCCTTCCCCCTCTGCCCCATCGCTCGTGTTTGATTGTGCAGGGTCGTCATGTCAAGACTGGGCAGCTGGCCGCGATTAAAGTCATGGATGTCACCGAGGTGAGGCCCAAGAAAGCTGAGACGAGTCGTCGTCATTGTCGTCGTCGTTATCGTCGTCATTGTCGTCGTCATTGTCGTCGTCATCGTCGTCATTGTCGTCGTCATTGTCGTCGTCATTGTCGTCGTCATTGTCGTCGTCATTGTCGTCGTCATTGTCATCGTCGTCGTCGACATAGTCTTTCATAAAGCACTGAGAAAAGCTCCGGTCGCTAAGAGGGAATGTCGCCAATCGTCGTGATGTATGTTGAATTTCTTTAGCACCAGACGTAGCCAACCGTGCTAATCGGAGGCGATGTCCGACGTTCCGCTCCGCGTCCCGGGAAATCGTTTTTGTGATTAAGCTCCCACCGGCGCACGGAGCGAAACGTCGGGACGACGTCGTGCCGAACGGCACGCGGCGGCGAGACGCGGAGACAACCGCGTGGGAGAACAGCCATGTGCGGCACGACAAGTGAGCGCGCAGAGGGACCCGCTCAGCGAGTCTGATCAGGAGGTACTACAGACGATCACTGTGCCGTGAATGTTCGATTCCCGAACGGGGCCGACGGTGGCGGCGTGGCGATTCCCTTAAACCGTCACCTCCGGGACGACGTCTTCCGGGAGAGCTGGGAGATTTGAGTTCGATTCCCGAACGGGGTTGGAACCGCCGGGGGAAGTCCTTCGTTGTACTCTACTTGTACGCTTTCCCCGCCCGCCCCGCGCCGACACCCGACGGGCCACCGACCAGCGTGGTGAAGTACGGTCGTCACGATCTCCGGTTACTCGCGCGGTCCGGGGAGGCGTTCATCCAGCAGCGGATTGACATGTGCGCGCTTAGCGGGTGCCAAGTGCTCTGTTAAAACGCCACTAATGCCGTATTCCATTCACAAGTGTAAACTCTTTGTGTGACAATGGAATCTGAGCTGAATATAAATCACAGTCATTTCCATTGTAAGTGCCCTACACCCCCCCCTCCCCTGCTGGCGAGCTCCCATGGCGTTTGGCCACTTGATGCTTATCCACACCCAGTTCGGTCAACCGGACCGAACCTCCTTGTTCGGCCACTCGCTCACTTGCTTACTCACCCTCTCGCTCACACACTCGCTCACCCGCTCAGTCACTCAGCCGCTCGCCCACTCATTCGCTCACGCACTCATTCACTCGCCTACTCATTCGCTCACTCACCCATCCACCTACTTGCTCACCCTCTCGCTCACCCACTCATTCACTTGTCCACTCATTCACTCGCCCACTCAGTCACTCACTCACTCATTCACTCGCCCACTCAGTCACTCACTCACTCATTCACTCGCCCACTCACTCGCTCACTCAGCCACTCACTTGCTCAGCCACTCAGTTACTCACTCACTCATTCACTCGCCCACTCACTCGCCCACTCACTTGCTCAGCCACTCAGTTCGCACCCCGGATTTTGCACGCTTGGCTACGTACGGCGCGAAAGAAGATCAACATACAGTATACTGTACATACAGTGAGGGAAAAAAGTATTTGATCCCCTTCTGATTTTGTACGTTTGCCCACTGACAAAGAAATTATCAGTCTATAATTTTAATGGTAGGTTTATTTGAAAACATCAGGAAAAACGCATGTCAAAAATGTTATAAATTGATTTGCATTTTAATGAGGGAAATGAGTATTTGACCCCTCTGCAAAACTTGACTTCGTACTTGGTGGCAAAACCCTTGTTGGCAATCACAGAGGTCAGACGTTTCTTGTAGTTGGCCACTAGGTTTGCACACACCTCAGGAGGGATTTTGTCCGACTCCTCTTTGCAGATCTTCTTCAAATGCTTTTTTCCCTCACTGTACGTGTTACACTCCTGTGCCTGTCACAACTCTGGTGGCGCTGTTTGTTGCTGAGCTTGTGCTCGTCAATCCTCCATTCCGAGTCGGGACGCGGCGCGGGAATTCGGCGTGAACGCGGCGTCAGGAGGGCGAGAGACGGGGGGGGGGGAGGGGGGGTCCGGCTGTCACCTTGCCACCCCGTGATTCCCTCCGGTAGGCGTTGAGAAAGAGCCGATGGAGTCCCATATCGACGTCGCGATTGCGCATGCTCGCGCGGCTTCGGTCCGCTCCGAACGACGCTTCGGAAATTTTAAACCCGAAGTAAAATCAAGACGAGAAGGCGGTGCGCGCCGCGGAGGGTCACGGCCGCTCTCCGAATCGCTCGCCGGGGACACCGGCACGGCACGGCACGGCGCGGCTTGCCCCAGCACCATTTCCCCGCGTGACTGTGCTCACGATGAGTCGTCAACCCTGCCGCTTTGCTGTTCATAACCTCGCGCCTTGACAACAGCAGTGCCACCACTCACCCCCCTCCACCGCCTCTCCAACCTCGCAACGCCACCACCGCCGCCACTGCCGAGCCTCGGGTTTCTGGTGGCCGCGTGAATTCCCGCACCTCCTGCATCACTCCCCCCCCCGGCGTCCACACGACCGAGGGCGCTGCCGCTGTAAAGTTGCGCCCTGGTTGACCTGGAGGTGTTTGGGAGGCGGGGGAGGAGGGGGCAGTGGGGTGGTGGCGGCATGTTGGGTAACAATGCCAATGATCGCACTCGGGTTCTTTGACCTCTGGTGGCCGGAGGAGGCGCTCGGATCCGTGCACGCGGCGCCGCACGGCACCTCCGATTAGCTCGGTTGGCTACGTATGGCGCGAAAAAAGTTCAACGTACACACGTACGTCGACCGACGTCGATCGTCGGTAACAACAACAAGGACGATGACATCGGTTTGTCCCGCACGACACCGCCTGCCCCTTGAGAGATGCTTTTACATGAGCCTGCTTTTGCGTTGGGGGCGATTTGGTCAACCTGCACAGTCGTAAATGTAATTAATGATTAGCTCGGTTTATCTCCTTGATGTTCCTGTTAAGCCGGGGGAGGGGGGACCCGGGGGGGACCCTCTTTGAAAGCAAATCTCGAGACTAATTCGAGCTATCCCAGGGGGGGGGAGGTGAAAATGAATCGAGCATTTAGAGGCCTCCTTCGCAGAGGAGGAAAGTTTCCGGAGTCTCGTCTCTCGCTGTTCCAGTTGCGTCACGGAGGGCCGGCTCGTTTGACCGCGTGACACCGCCTGGACAGTGTCTACCCCGCTTTGCTGGCCCGTCCCCGGCCCCGTCCACTGCGCATCCCCGGCCCCCCCTCGGAAGTCTGCGGGGGGAGCAGATGGCGCGCGTCTTGATCGACCGCACTTTGGAAATATTAATTAGCGTTCCTCGCCGCGCCAAGTTCCGTCGCCGGCGTGCGGGCGAACCCTCGCGCTCAAGCGAGGCGGCAGCCTGAGATTCTCCGTTAACTCCCGTCGCTCGCCGTCTGCGAACTCTGGCGACGAGAGAGAACCCCCTGCCCCCCCCCAGGACGTGCGTTTATTTCGTAGAGATGAGACGGAGGAAACGCGGGGGGAAGGCCTTGAGCCTGGACTTGAACAGGTGCGGGGAGTTGACATCGCGGACGGCGGGCGGAGAGTTGTGGAGCCCTGCGGGGAAGAATGAGCGACCTCCCACTGAGAGAGTTTGACTAGGGACTTGGACAGAGGAGAGCATTGGGGTTATTGACAGATCCGGTGTATTTATTTAAAGCTTAAATCATTAAACTTGAGCCGGTGGCCGGTTGCCATGTTACATCATCTCTCGTCGTCATCATCATCAGCCACGATTTATCCACTGCTGGGTGAAGGCCTTCCCAAGCCGTCTCGCAACGCTCGCTGTGAATCCCATGGCTCCGTCTCTGCGGAAGAGCATTGACATGCTGCCCACTCGGTCAGTCGTCAACCACTCTGACCGACATCCCGTCGAGCCACGTGTCCTGCCCAGGCCCACTCGCTCATTTTAACAAATCAACGTTAAATATTTTTTTTTGTTAGCTTTGCCCGCCACGTTCTCCGTGCGTGTCGAGAAGGCTCCTGTGGAGGCAGGCATTGACGAAGACAAAATTATCTTTCCGCCTCTCGGTGTAAAAGCCAAGCAACGGACGTCCCCTTGGCTCCTTTGCGCGCACTCTTCAGCTCTCGTTATTTTCTCGCTGTCAGCGTCCACGTTTCCATTCCGTGGCACCACAGGTGGTCGAGATGTTGACCACCTCACCCGGTATAAAGGAGGTCGTGTGTTCGATCCTGACCCTGACGCCTGCTGCTGTATATTTGGAGCTTGCGCGTCTCCCTCTCTCTCCCCGTGGTCGTGTGGATTTTTTCTCCGGGTCCTCTGGTTTTTCCCTCCACATTTAGAATCGACGTCATGCCTTCAGGAGTATTTGGCCTCTATACATTTCCACGCGATGATGATAAGCCACGCCGTTGAGGCTATCATTTGCGATAACCGGGGTCGCTTCTGAAAAAGAGCGCGTTGCAAAAAAACAAATAAAATATTTTCCTAGTTTAGTTTAATATACGAGGCCGCTACTGGGCACCGTTTGGCGTTGAGGCCGAGCGGTGATGTTCGTTGGGCCCTGCCGCCCCGCCGACGCAAAGCTTTTCTCAGCGCTGCGAACAAGGACCCAACAAAAACAAACAAACCGTTGTCGTAATTACATCATCTATTTTTCTTTTACCTCTTTTTCCCAAGTGGGGCGGGAGGGGGGGGGTTTGGGATGGCGGTGGGATTTAAGCTGCGTTAAAAAAAAAAGATTCCGCGTGAGCATCTCTGACCCGGTCGTAAAAGAATGAAACGGGCAAAAGGGTCTCCTTGTGTCCAGTCCTTGGACTCCTCTTCCCGCCGTCCGGCCGGGACGGTCGACTCTCCTTCCAAGGACTTTCTTTTTTAGTCGCGCAAACTTGCCGGTGCGCATCCCCGTGGCCACCGTTATTTGCGGCCTCTTAATAACAGGAAGCGCACGCGGGTGAATGCCAAGGGAAGGGACGGGGAAGAGGGGTGGGGTGGGGGGCGGAAATTTACAAATAAATATTTATTAATCTCAAAGGCCCGAAACAAATCTCTCCAAACGAGTCCCGGGCAACCTCGCTTCAAAGCGATGGACGATAAGGATCTCCGTCTCTTTCACGCGCGCC